CGCACTTGTAAAAAGCCCCCCACAGCTTCATTGTAGCCCCTTCAGGTACTGACAGGCTGCAATAAGGTCTCCCCGGAGCCTTCTCTTCTCCAGGCTGAACAAGCCAAACTCTCTCAGCCTTTCGTCATAGGAGAGGTGCTCCAGCCCTCTGATCATCTTCGTGGCCTCCTCTGGACTCGTTCCAACTGGTCTATATCCTTCTGCTGTTGAGGGAGCCACAGCTGGACGCAGCACTCCAGGTGGGGTCTCACCAGAGCAGAGTACAGGGGCAGAATCCCCTCCCTCGACCTGCTGGCCACACTTCTGATACAGCCCAGGATACGGTTGGCTTTCTGGGCTGCCAGCGCACACGGCCGGCTCTTGTTCAGGGGAACAAAGCCCTTAAGCGAAGAGCTTTGGGGCTGTTTTTTACCCTCTCAGACTTGCTCTTTTGATTTTTTTTTTTTTCCCCATGAGACAAGATCCATGACCCTCCCTGCATCGTGTCCGCTCTAACCCACCACAACACTTCTCCACAGCTTTCGGGAACGCAAAGACCATCCGTAACGACAACTCCAGCCGATTCGGAAAGTACATCGACATCCACTTCAACAAAAGGGGAGCCATCGAGGGGGCAAAGATTGAGCAGTACCTGCTGGAGAAGTCCCGGGTCTGCAGGCAGGTAAGGCGATGTATCTGCAAGGCGTGGGAGCGCGCACTCGGTCAACCTTGCGGTGCCGTTCTCCTCGCAGACCTGATGCTTGCTCTTCTACCACAGGCCCAGGATGAGAGGAATTACCACGTGTTTTACTGCATGCTGAGGGGAATGACGATGGAGCAGAAGAAAAAGCTGGGTCTTGGGAAAGCCACAGACTACAACTACCTTGCGATGGTGAGAGTGTGGCAAAGCAGAGGTTTGGTGGGGGTGATGTGGTGGGAGCTTCTTATCAAGGGAGAAAGAACCAAAAAGTGTTTCCTCCACAGCCAAGATCTGCTTTGCTGATCTTCCTGAGCCTTAGCTGTAAGTTTTGTGGGAATTCTTTGTCCCACCACTGCAAGCTTCACAGTCTTAGTGCAAACCCTTAACCCTTGTGTGTGAGACAGGTTATTTCCATCTTTCCTGTAGCAGGACACACACTGGGATGGTTTTGGTGCTTGATGCCCATACCACTTGTTTGGAAATCAATCAACTGGTTGGAGTGAGTCCAGAGGAGGTCACAAAGATGCTCCAAGGGCTAGGGCACCTCTGCTATGGGGACAAGAAGAGTTGGGGTTGTTCAGCCTGGAGAAGAGAAGGCTCTGGGGAGACCTATTGCAGCCTTCCAGTACCCGGGGGGGCTGACAAGAAAGCTGGAGGGGGATTTTTTATAAGGGCAGGGAGTGACAGGACAAGGGGTAATGGATTTAAGATTGGAAGAGGGTGAATTGAAATTGGACATCAGGAAGAAATCCTTCCTAGAGAGGGTGGAGAGGCACTGGGACAGGTTGCCCAGAGAAGCTGTGGATGCCCCATTCTTGGAGGTGTTCAAGGCCAGGCTGGATGAGGCTTGGAGAAACCTGTCTAGTGGAAGGTCTCCCTGCCCATGGCAGGGGGGTTGGAACTAGATGATCTTTAAGGTCCCTTCCAACTCAAACCATTCTGTGATACTATGATTCTATGAAATAGCCAGGACGTTAGATATGACCCAATGCTCTTGCAGCGGTGGTGGACAGGGAGGAATGCATGGCTGGATGGTGCATTCTCAGCACCATAAGGTATGGAGTTGTGTCTGCCCCACATATCTGGCAGAGCTAGCAATCTCCAGCCAGACTCCCTGTATAGCAGTATTGCAATCCAGAGGAGCTGGTAGAAGCAGGTGTAATTAAGACTGGCCCATCATCAGCAAGTTTGGCACCCAGCTTTCAAGATGGATTGGCAGGAGCCTCTGGCACATTTTCTTCTCACCCTTTATCCCTGTCTCAGGATGCTTTTTCCCTTCTGCTGTTTGCAGCCAGGCACAGGGTAGCTGGGGACAGCAGGGTAAGTGCAGGTCTCAAGGCTGAGCACAAAATCATAGCATACACCAAAGGGCAGAGCCAGATTCACAGATTCAACATCATCTTTTTGCTTATTCACCCCTTAAACAAAATGGTTGCTCATTTATGGAGAAACCCTGGATAGCTTAGGGTGGTCTCTGCTTTACCCCGTGCACAGTGCTACCTCTTTGCCTCCCCAGGGTAACTGCACAACCTGTGATGGCAGAGATGATAGCAAGGAGTACGCCAACATCCGCTCGGCAATGAAGGTCCTTATGTTCACCGACACGGAGAACTGGGAGATCTCCAAGCTGCTGGCTGCCATCCTGCACATGGGGAACCTGCAATATGAAGGTAGAAGGACAAAATACAGGGAAGTGGTCCAGTACACTCTTCATTCTGCATGGTGAGGGGAGCCAAGCTTGGGGACAGAGGGCTGTATCCAGACCACCTGCCATGGTGCTATGCCAGGGACTGAGGTGCTTATTGTGGTGTGTAAGAACAAGAAAGGAGGAATAAGTCCACCTGCCCACTCTGCAGGGCTGCCAGACTCCAGCATACTCAGTGACATCCACCTTTTCTGAATCTAGGGAGGTTGAATATGGCCACAGGCCATTCAGTGGACTCAGGCTTTTCAAGGAAAGACTAACGGAGGGTTTGACAAGTGCCTTTGTGACTGGAAATGCCTTTGTAAAGGTATCAAACCACCCTGCCATCAGAAATGAGAGTGATTTTAAAAAGCCTCTTTGGAAGACAGAAACCTAAAGCACTTAAATGCTAGAAACGTTTTCACCCTGTAAGTCATTTAGGATGGCTGGCAGGGAAGAGTACAGGTCCTTTGCAGCTGCATGAACTTTTCTCTCCCTTCTGATGGCCAGATTTTTCCTGGCCATCAGATGGAGGCAATGGAATTCCTTTCCCCCAACCCATCTAAATTCTGTAGAGCCATGTCCCTTGCTGACTGCTTTCCCTCTGCCTTTCCTTCCCCAGCTCGGACCTATGACAACCTGGATGCCTGCGAGGTTGTTCAGTCGGCGTCATTAATCACCGCGGCATCACTGCTGGAGGTCAGTGGCTCTGTGGTGTTGCTGTCCCCTTTTTGGCTTGTTCCCAGTGTGGTGGCTAAGCCTGATCTGAGTCAGGGTCTCATTACACCATCAGCTCTAGGCTGGAGAGGCCTGGATAATCCATATTTTACCCTGCACTGGCAGCGTGAAGGTGGGTGTCTCCATCTGGGTTCAGTATCTGAGCTCCCCTTCATGCCAGTGGAATGAAACAGATACTTCAGTGGCACATCATCCTAAAAAACTCATCCAAAATAGCTCAGTCCCTAAAATAGAGCATTTCCCTTATTGATGTAAGAGAGTTCATTACAGTAGCTGAGGCAAAGATGTCACCTGTACTGTGTGTATCTGGAATGAGGTGAGATGACCCTCACCCAAATGCAGTAGCTGGAACATATTTCAGGGGCCTTCCCAGGAGGTAACAGGGCTCCTTCAGGGGCACCACCTCACCTGCATAGGCACTGCTGATCCCAGGCTGTGATCCACAGCTGTCTGCAGGCTGCTTTCGTGTACTTTAGGGGGTGGACATTTCCCTGGCTTGATCTCAGAAGTATGAAAAGGGGTCAAGGGGATGCAACGTTACATTCCT